ACGCTCTGCAACCAATCAGAAAACAGGATTCCGATGAATTTTGCTTCGTATTATCGGAATCCTGTTTTCTGATTGGATGCAGAGCATCGTACAACGAAAATCGGATGCAGTGTGAATGCAGCATAAGTCGCAAGCAAATCGACCAATCACAATCAAAATTACGATCTCACGTTTTAAAACGCTCTGTGATTGGCCGATTTGCTTACGGTCTTACGATTGCAACTAAAATTTTTTTACGTGTGATGACCTTAATTACAGCAACATGGCGGAATATGGTGTCACGTTCTCATTGGCTTAGAAAATGTATACCGAGGTGTTTTGCATGATGTGATGATGTGGGTTGACACTGTTGACAGTTGTTGATAATTGACTTTGATAAATTGAAAAAGGAAATTTCTGTACGACTGTAATCCATGATGAGTGATTATAAAATACCGCTAATCGAGCCGACTATAGATTATGCAAAGGTGTCGATGAAATTTTAACGTTTCTCGTGCATGCATACATGGTCGGCTGAATTTGACAATGCTCCACAATAATGCGGGGAGCAGACTTGTTCAAATGGTTTGTATTCCAGGTACCGCCGATCAACCAAAAGCGAACGGTCTCCTTCATAAATCATTTTATTACCCATACCGTCACGTTCTTGAATAAATTCGCCTTGTCCTGCGAGGAGAGATTGTTTGATTTCGAAAACAAGTTGCAAAAGTTGGAGGCATCGTTAGAAATATTAGAATCGCGGGTACGTGTATGTTTGTGAGGTGCATAAAAAGAAATTGTAAAAGAAAAAAAACTTTTACAATAAATTATCTTGCGCATAGAATTTATTTTTTCACAAATATTTTACTTTGCTTCTGCATAGTTATCTTCTATACCTGGTTTAGAACAAGACCATCATAAAGAATCAAATAATGTTAATGAGGATAATACAAGTAAATTAGTAGAAATACGTGAAGTGGATGAACCTGATAATAGTGAGATAGAGCCTAAGGACGAACAGAAAGAAATACAGTCTGCAGCTAAAGATCCACGCTATGAAAAATACTTCAAAATGTTACACTTTGGTGTACCAAAACAAGCAGTTAAATTAAAAATGGAGCAGGAAGGATTGGATGCATCTATATTAAAGTAAGTCTTGATATTTTTCTTATATAGGAAGATATTTACATTCATATATATTAATATGATTAATAACGCATATTTACTTTCAATTTTAAATGGTAAGATTAACAGTCACACTTAAATATTGACCATACAATTTTTAATTAGTTATATTTTTTATGATAAATAATTACTATGCACATGTATTGACCTTAATTTATACATAGCATAAAATAGCATAGCAGTTAAAATACTCAACCTTTTTTTTTTATTGTTAGCAATCCACAACAGATAGTTTCTGTACCACGATTGTCAGAAAACGATGAGAATCGAGGTGAATAAATATTAAGGTAATTATTTTAATGCTGTATCGCTAATTATTTTAGGTATTTTGGACGTTTTTGCATTATAAAATACACAATAAAGACATGTACAAATCCTTGATTGATTTATTTATTAAATACAGAATGTAAAGTATCGAGTAGCTTAAAACTGAATCATTTGACCCTGAAAATAAAAAATAGTAGATTGTCAGTCAGAATTTATGCATGTTTCATTTTTATTTGAATAGTTTCTAGATGTATTGGTATTCACCTTTCTCTTCTTGTCACCTCCTAGTTCGAAATGCTTGCATCTCTTCAATGGAATTTGTTTTCTATATTTGCATTCCGTGCACTCCATCCTTAGTACAATTTTCTTTGTTGTTTTTGCCTACAATAATGTAAGAAAATATATTTAGTAAAAATTGATATACTACCGTTATTGTTATAACCTAAATTATAACATTTTAATTAATATTCTCGAAGAACATTATGAATTAATGAGTCTGTTCTTTGTTACTGCACTGGACAGATTGCACTAACATTTCCTTTCGTACTTTTGCAAATATACTTGTATTTACTTCATTTTAAGCGAATATACAACTAGTTCAGCAAAGAACAGACATAATGTATACATCTGAATTTGCATAAAAGATGTAGTAATAACTTTACTCGCTTTGCTATATCATTAAATAAATATAATTTATCATTGCTATCGGATTTATTCTGTAAACTTATCATCATGCACTCACTTTTTTTCTGAAGATGGGCTTCGTTTGACCACCGAACCCTTGCTGTTTACGGTCGTAACGCCTTCTACCCTGCGAGGCATGTCTCTCCTTACTCTTCTTGTACTGCGTTACTTTATGATTCTTGTGTACCTTGCATTTTTTGCAAAAAGTACGCCTTTGCTTCGGGACGTTAACCTATAAAGAATCATATCAAATTCTAAGACTCGATACATTATTATGTAGAATGACGAAGTAATCGATCTTCGAGGTATATCTGGTTTCTAATTCTTATAAATAATTCGAGTAAATATACGCTATGCGTATATTTATTGTTGCGTGTTGCGTAGAGTAAAAACATTTCCGTACTCATTCCGAATAAATAGGTTATGTCTCCTCACATCGAATTATTGCACCGTAGTAACAGATATTCACATCAAATTGCGGTAAACATAATTAGAATTGTAAATTCTAATTATGTTTACCGCAATTGCTATTTCGTGAAGTGAAAAATTCTAAAGATTTCTAGGATATTCACGGATAAAAACTTGTGAAAATCGCGTATTAACCTACCATCTTGGCACGTATCGAAAGAAAAGAGAGATGTAGTTCAACCGGAAATCGTGGCGCCTGCAATCATATAGTGCGCCTGGGCATGCGCTTTATTCTCATTGCGTTGCAATAAATTCAGAAACCTTGAGTATATTTTTTGCGTTGCACATACATAATTATTAATAATACAACCGATGCTACAATATTTACGAATTCCAATTGCGCACGACGTTACTGCGAGAGGAAACACTTGCGGTTTAGTGTGCGATTAGTAAAGTCTCCGCGAAACCACTATCGGATTTACGCCATTTAACACAACTGGCATCAAAATTATATAAAATATCCAATCGATAAGTGCAATTTTATATTAAACTACCCTTCATTATTTGCGTTACATCGGATATAAATAAACGAGCAACTTTGCACGGTGGATCCGGTCTAATGATTAACTTATCTATTTAATAATCTTATATGCGATGAACAATAATATTGTAACGTGTGCGTACATACAACTGGTCGACACGCAGTGACTATATGTGTACACGTGACTACAAATATATTTCTGTATAACACACACACGCACACACGCGCGCGCGCACACATTCATATATATACATATATATGTATATGGTGTTTCTTAAATAGCGCTCACTAATCATAAGGTTTGTCGCGTCGCGTGCTCCAATATGCACCAACGTGCTCCGATACGCTCCTACTCACTCCAACGCGCTCGTCAGAGTGAATAGGAGCTATACGGGCACGAATTGGAGCATATTGGAACATGCGATACGCACAAACCTATATTATGGTAATATAGTGCTAGTCCTGATCAAAAATTGAGTCGAAAAGTCCCGAGCCATTTTTTTCTACAATGCTCAACGAAGCAGTTATTATCGAGTAAAGATAGTCCAATCGGCGTCGTCTTTTAGTTGGGCACACGTCAGTGAGTCACGTGCTTGGTAATGTGCGTAAGCGCACACACTATCGAGAGCGCGATTCACTGACGTGTGTCCGTACCCAAAGGACGGCACCGATTGGACTATCTTTACTTTTACGATTGGATTAGCTTTACTTAATAATAACTGTATCATCGAGCGTTGTAGAAAAAATTGGCTCAGGACTTTTCCATTAAACTTTTTATTAGGAGAATAAGCGCTGTACGATTAGTGGGTACTATTTAAGAAACACTATATAGGGTATATATATATATATATTTATATAAATAATATATGTATATATATATATATATGCGTGCTTTTTAAAGGTCGAGATGTGTCATTTTAATTGTTTTTCGTTGACGCATAATAATAAAAAAAAGTATAGTTAGTAATGGTAGAGTAAACTGAAAAATAATCATCCTTTTGCGCTCCATTGAAATGAGCACGCGACGTAATTACGACGAAGGAACATCGTTTAAGCATCGGCGAGAATTTCGGAAAAGTTGAATTACAATTAGCGCACGAGTTTGCGGCCTGCGTGCGAGAAACGCCACGATCGACGTGAAATTCGCTACGAGTTGCGGATCGGATCTCGCGGTCCATTTCCCGCTCGATCGTTTCGCGGTAATTCGTGGTCGTTCGCACGTTCGGATAGGATGTCTATCGATTTCTCGCGAACGCGAGATCCCCTCGAAACCCACGTAGAAGGATTCGCAGCGCCAAGGCTTATTTGAATCGAGCGACGTAGCCTCGAACCGGACGTCTCGCTCGGGCCACGAACTCTCGAACCCCTCGTCCTCCGCGAGTTTTAATTTTATTTATACCCGGAGTAGCCGCGTTAAATGTGAAATCCCTTCGGAAAGTCGCGGAACATCGTACGCCACTGTAAAATCGTGACTCGTTGACGATCGCATCGAAATACGGGTGACGACGAGATCGGCCAATCAGGAATTTATCGGATTTCAAAGCCGCGCCATCTTCATTTTTGAACAAAGCCAGGTTGGACGTGCTAGAGGCGAGCCGGGATCTGGTAGTAGTCCGCTTAGCGCTATTCGCGCCACAGTCGTCGGCACACACTCCACTCCTGACTGGTTCGACCTCTCCCCCGCCGCACGCCACGCTCTTTCCCCATATCGCTTGCTCTCTTCCCCCTCCCCTCCTAGCCTTCGCTCTCGTTCACCCTCTCCCTCGCAGCCCCACGGGTCTTCGCCTGACTGCCTGACGACGCTGCTCTCTCGGGCATTTCGGCGGAAACCGACGTCGTGTGAAGACACGTATTTGCAGTCTCGCTACGCGTACACGCCGTCGCCGTCGTCGCTGCCGCCGCCAACGCCGCCGCCGCTCTTTCGTACTTCACCGAGTTCAGTTCGAGTCGCGAAGTCGAGCTATTTGGATTATTGACGCGTACGTCGCATCTTCGATTCAACCAACCATGAGCACCAAGGAAAATAACGAGGTCGCTGTCGAGAAGGTGACAGAGAACGACAAGGCATCCGCGGACGCGAAATGCGATATCAAGGGGATTAAGAGGCCAGCCGAGGTGAGTACCGCTTCCTTACCATCGAGCTACTCCGACCGTACCCACGATTCTTGTGCCGTTCGTGGCATTCGACGAGACGACGTTTATCTTGTGAATATTCGACGTTTATACTCGGTGACGGGGATTCGACGTTGACGATATGCGTCATCCGAAGCTGTAGGAGCAGCGACGGGATGAATAATACGAGCTCGCGCGTTTGATCGCGAAACACGCCACGCCACGCCACGCCGTCGGAACTGTCGGGTCGGGGGACATTGAATCGCATCGCATCGACGCGCCG